AGGAGGTCACCTGACAGACAGGAAGCTGAGCCACGCAGGTTTGGTAACATTTCCACTGCTGTGTCTGAGAGACGGCTGGGGATTCTGCTCTCCCACAGCGTTGTCCACAGCCCCGGCCGGCTCGCACCTTGCCTCTTGTCCCTTGCACAATCACGCCCTCGCCCCGTGCTGCTCTCTCCTCTGAACGTGCTCAACTTCATCTCCAGCCCAGTCCTTGGTTCCCCCAAGCTTGCCTTCCTCCCTGCACCCTGGGGTCCCACAGGGCCTCTCCTGGCCTCCCCACGCCTTCCTCCCTGCACCCTGGGGCCCCACAGGGCCTCTCCTGGCCTCCCCACGCTCAGGCCCTCAGCAGCTTAGTGCTCCCTCACTGCAGCACCCTCTACCCTGTGCCCCCATGCGTGTCTGCCTTGGGTGCGAGCCTTTGCCTCCTGAGCCTTCCCACGGACCACACTGACCACCCAGTAGTCTCATCAGTGACCTCTGCAGTTGCGGACGCCAAATGGTGCCATGGTGGGCAGGTCAGGGTCCAGTCCCAATCTCCCTCTGTAAGGCTCTGAGCCCCCAGAATACCTGCTTCTCCTGAGATAATGCTGGGGTGGGAGTGGCCAGCCCGGTCCCAGCATACAGCAGACATCTGCGGCACAAGGGAGCAGGGTGACCCTGAGCTGCCTGGGGTGAGCAGTGCCTTCCCAGTACCAGGGGAGCTGAGGGAGGGACTGCCAGCCCCCAGCCTGGAGCGCCAATACGGCCTCAGTCCTGGACCCAGGAGGCAGGAGGATCATTCCAGAAAGGGCTTCCCTGCCCTCTCAGCCCTGATCAGTGTGGGGCTGTGAACAGGGACCCTCCTCCCTGCTTTCCACCCTCTGCTGTGAAGCCAGAAGGCTTGAAGAGATTCGAAGTTGCTCCCCCCACCCCCGCCCAACCCCCAGGGGTTCAGAGGTCCAGACTCCACTACAGCCTACCTGACTGGTTCCCAGGTTTCCCTCCTAACCCTGCTTGAAGCCCCGCCTCTGACCAGGGAGGAGACGGGGGAGGGGCGGCTTCTTCAGGGGTGCCCCTCCCCCTTGCTGTTAGTCCCGGAGTGTGAAGGAGGGGCTGTGCCTTTGCTTCCCCCACTCCCCGCCCTGGTCTATAGGCGGGTCCCCATTGTCC